CTCTCCCTCTTGATCTTGGCTTGTCTAGATGACACCATGTCAGGGTGGACCCATAGTTACACTCCACTCTTGGTTGCGCTAAGTCCCAGCTCCTAGCTGTGCCATTTTGCCTCATTGTTATTAGTAGTAGTATTAGTATTAGCATTAGTATTAGTATTCGTAGGGTGTCTCTATGTAGCTCTGAACTGGAGCTCCATATGTAGAGCTGGCTGGCCTCAAATGCACAGAGATTTGTCTGCCTCTGCCTTGAGTGCTGGGATTAAAGACATATGTGACCACGCCCAGCTCTTACCATATGTCTAATGGACACCAAGACGCCATGTCGGCTGTGTTTGTTGTGAGGCTTTCTGACCAGTCCCAGAAGGTGGCGTCAGCATCTCTTTAGCTTCTAAATGCTCCAGGAGCTAAACTCCGAGTGCCCTGGGGAAGAGCTCTTGGATTCTTGCCATCGTTGTTTTTGGATGTCTGCTTTTTTTTTTTCTTTTCTTTTTTGTTAAACCGCTCTCAGTTGTTCCCATGCATCTGAGACAGGGCCAACTCAAACTTGGTGCACTCCAAACCCGCAGTCCAAATGTCGAGAACTTCTGTGCCTTAGAATTAAGAAACCTAATCCTTAAGCAAACATTCATCAGTATTTCGAGTCATGATCCCATTTCCTTAAAAAGCTAGGAGCACAGGAGGATGAAGAGATCGAGGCCAGCCTGGGCCTGGAGCTAGACCTCACTGCGCAAACCAACTACTGTGGCAGCCTTTCCCTAGCCAGACACTTATATCCTTAACAATGGACAGGACGAGTTCCTGTGTTTCTACAGACAGAAGCGAAATCAAAATACAGATGTGAGCTTCCTCCTGCTGTGAGCTTGCTCCTGCTGACGTGCATGTCTTCCCCCCACACCCTTTTTAAAGCACCCTCAGCACTGGTAGCCACCTCGGCTGCTGAGCATGCTGCCTCCTTTCCTTCTGTTCCTTGTGTTTACTTTTGTTCTCTATTTGCTTACATTATAATCTCACGTCTTATGTTACAGAGAACATAGGGCAGAACCTACAGTTCACCCAGATACAGGCAGCCTGCCAAAGCCAGGGTTTGGCATATGGAGGGAAGTCAGAACACTACCTTCTCTGCCAAAACCAGTGTCTGTCTTGAGGAACTTGCTCTCACCCTGGGGGAAGAGAGGGCCTTCAAAGCGGCTCATCTTGATGTGCAGTCCCTGGCAGTGGCTTTCCAGATGGTCTCCAGAAACCCAGTGCACATGATGTGTTTGTTGAAGTGCTTTATGCCTGCACCCTCTAGAGCCCCTGATGTCCCTAGAGGACACACTGCTGGAATGGGCTCCCTGCAGCTTCATGCCGACACCCTCTAGAGCCCCTGATGTCCCTAGAGGACACACTGCTGGAGTGGGTTCCCTGCAGCTTCATGCCTGCACCCTCTAGAGCCCCTGATGTCCCTAGAGGACACACTGCTGGAGTGGGCTCCCTGCAGCTTCATGCCTGTGCCCTCTAGAGCCCCTGATGTCCCTAGAGGACACACTGCTGGAGTGGGCTCCCTGCAGCAGACCTGACAGGGTGTCTTCCCAGCAGCGCACTGTATGGCAGCTCACTTGAATCTCATAGCAACAGCCTGAGAGATGGTCTTCCCGCTGGAGGCACTAGAGGCTGGCGTCTTTGGGCCTGACTGGCAGAGACTGGGACCTGACTTTCTCTCTGTCTACAAGTCTCTGTTTATTCTGCTCTCTACTCCTGGTGAGGTCTTCAGTTCTGCTCACCACACGGCAGTGTTTCTTAGAGAACAAAAGTAAACACAAGTAACAGGATCAAAAGCGTGCTCTAGTGTGGCGTGGGAGGGTCAAGGAGGGGCAGGACACCCATGTGAGCCCTGTATGAGGGATAGGGCATGTCCTGGATCAGCCAGTCTAGGGTAGTGGGCAGGAACAGTGGTGACCATTGCAGTAACTATAGCAGTATTAGCACTGCACAGCATTCCACCCCATGCCAGGGCCACTGCTCAGGTGTGACTCTTCTGCACGCTCCCTTCCAGGGGCTGTTACTTCTGACCTCACAAGACACTTAGGTAAATTTTATCAATGTCTCCTTGCCAGGAAGGTTAATGTTAATGGCAACTTTTCAAGGTAAAAAGCATAAAGAAGAAAAAGATCCCATAATCTGATCACTCTGAGGGGTATGAGCCATTTTATACACTGTCACTGAGATTTTTGTGTGCATGTATTTGTGTGTGTGGACTCTAGAGGTCAGCTTCCAGTGTTGGTCCTCAGATGCCATCTCCTTTTCCTTCAAGATGAGATCTCACTGGCATAGAGCTCACCAGTTCAGCAAGGCTTGTCACCTGCCAACTACCCCAACAGTCCCCTTGTTCCCAAGTCCCAGCACTGAGATTACAGTGTGTGCCGCCCTACCTGGCTTTTCACGTGGGTGCCGGGAGTCAAACCCGGGTCCTCATGCTTCCAGAACATGCACTTTAGCATCTGAGCCATCACGCACCCCACCTGAGATTTTCAGAGTGAGGGATGTCACATGATGGTGTGAGTAGCTGACTCTCCTGGGAACTGCATGATGAAAATCCCGCCACTAACATGGCCAGTCCTGAGTGTGTTAAATGAAGTGGCCATGGCTGTGACTATGGTAGCTCTGTGGACTGATGAGGTATGTCCCCCAGCAGAGCAGTGTTTGCAGAGAAGGGCAAACCCCAGCCACTGACAGATGGAGGAACAGAGGTCTGGTCCTGCCCCCTACAGAGACGACTGTGGGGATCAGGTGGTAGGCAGCATCTAATTCAAGTTCCCAAGTGACAAAACCTGTGTGGCCTCAGAGCCCAAATATGGCCTGGCCCAAGTGGCCGGTCTGGGCGCGGCTACCCCACACCCCACCCTGGTCTACCATGTGACTTCACAAGTGGTTCAGATGCTGTTTCCAGGACTCGTCACTTGTAAGGATGATGGGCCAGCAAGATGGTTCAGTGGGCAAAAGAACTTCTGAGCTGAAAAGAAAGGCAGCAGGATAGGCTGGAGAGATGCTCTGAGGCTAAGAGTACTTCCTGCTCTTGCAAAGAACCATGCATCACAGCTCACAACTGCCTGTCACTGTAGTTTTAGGGCCTCTGGGGGCATTCTTGTGACTATAACCACACAGACATGCATAATTAAAAGTAATTTGTTTGTTTGTTTTTTGTTTTGTTTTTTAAGGCAAGGTTTCTCTGTAGCTTTGGAGTTTGTCCTGGAACTCTTTCTGTAGACCAGGCTGGCCTCTGCCTCTTGAGTGCTGGGATTAAAGGTGCACCACCACTGCCTGGCTAAAAGTAACTTTTAAAATATATTTTTATTTTTTTATTTTTTTTTTTATTTTTATTTTTTTTTTTTTGGTTTTTCGAGACAGGGTTTCTCTGTGGTTTTGGAGCCTGTCCTGGAACTAGCTCTTGTAGACCAGGCTGGTCTCGAACTCACAGAGATCCGCCTGCCTCTGCCTCCCGAGTGCTGGGATTAAAGTAAAATATATTTTTAAAGGCTATATATTTTCTCACTGGGTAGGGTAGAGCACTTGGGAGGCAGAGGCAGGCAGATATCTATAGGTTCAAGGCCAGCCTGGTCTGCAGAGGGAGTTCTAGGACAGGCTCCATAGAAAGACTCTATCTCAACAAACAAAAATTCATGGTTGGCAGGATAGTTTAGCAGGTAAAAGGGCCTACTGACCTGAGTTGTCCTGTGGCCTTTATACACATAGCATGTCCATGCCCACTGCCCCAAAAATATGTGTGTGTGCACATGAGTGCGTGCACGTGTGTGTGTGTGTGTGTGTGTGTGTGTGTGTGTGTGTGAGATCATCACAAGGGTGAAGATGATCCAAGCTTCGGGGTGTCGGCTTGTCTTGTTACTGTGTGAAGATTGGACTGAAGAATTAGTTGCAGAGGAGGGTTGAAGATGAATGTGCAGTCCAGGACTGGTTCAGGGGAGAGCAGTAGATTCTCACTGTACTCCCTAGGAGAGCCCTTGCCTGTGTGCAGCCTGCTATCTTTGTTTACATAGCATTTACCTAAGGTGCTTCCTTGCTGTGAGTCATCCCATTTTACAGATGAGGAAGTAGAATACTAGTTTTTACAAGGGGCGTACAGCACCCTAAGAGCTTTCCAGAAGTCAGAGCTGCTCCCTCAGCCATGTGGCAGTCATCTATGCACTTCCTAAAAAGTGCACAGAGGGAGCTGAGAATGTGGTCACTCAGTTGGGATGTTTGCCTGATGCAGTCCTGGGCTCCATCTCCAGCACTGTGCAAACTGGGCTGGTGGTACCTGCGTGAAATCCCAGCACTTGGGAGGTAGACGCGGGGATCAGAAGTTCAAGGTCATTCTCAGCTATATAATGTGTTAAAGCCCAATCTGGGAGACAGACTTTTTCTTAAATAGGTGGATGGATATAATTAATTAGTTAATTAAAAATTAAAAATTCAAGGTAAAGAGCATCATGAGCGCAGATTCCTGGTCACCAGCTTCCACAAGAGATTCCCTAGGAAGACAGCCTTCTCCCAGATCCAGCCCCTCCCAGGGACACCAGTCTAGAAGACTAATTTTCTCCAGGCTTTGTGTCAGAGGGTCCCATTGGCCCTTGGAAAGTATTGACTTTCAGATCCTAATCTTCCAGGGTAGAGATTCTCTACTGCTATGGTAAAAATTGTCCAAGGGGTCCTTCTCTGAGACAGCACCCTGGGGAGGGCTGAGAAGCCACGTTGCTAAGGAGATGTCAAGGTGGTGGGGCAGCTGTGAATACATATGCAGTTGCTGCTACGTGAGTGGGGACACATTTGGAAACTACCTTGCTGAAGTTTTGACCCCAACCCCTAGGCCTGTACTTCCTTTTTCCACACAACAACCCAGGTTGTTTTTAATTTTCCTTAGCAGTATTAGAGGAAGTGGGTCATTGTATCTGACTTCTGGAGTGGTGTTGGTCTTTTTCAAAACTCTCGAGGCAGGCCCCACTCACTCTGTGGTCCCCTTTCAGGTGGTGAGGGCTGCCGAGGAGGCTGCATCCACACTAGCCAGCTCCATCCACCCTGAGCAGTGCATCAAAGTGCTGTGTCCAATCATCCAGACGGCCGACTACCCCATCAACCTGGCTGCCATCAAGATGCAGACAAAAGTGGTGGAGAGGATCACCAAGGAGTCCTTGCTGCAGCTCCTTGTCGACATCATCCCAGGCCTGCTGCAGGTACGCATCCCAGTGAGGTCCAAGTCAGGCTGTTCAGCATGAAGAGGGGCAGACGGAAGCCCCAAGTGATGACACTGTCCTTGGGACCTGCATCGGTTCTATTTGCAAAGGGTTTTGTTTGCATATTTTTAATAATGAGTTTCATTGTGGCCTTTTCATGCTGTGCATTTTATCATGTGTCCCCTATGTCCTTCTCCTGTCTCTCCTGAGGATCCCTTCCCTCTTCTGCTCCCGTGTCCTTCTCCTGTCTCTCCTGAGGATCCCTTCCCTCTTCTGCTCGTATGTCTTTATTTACTTTTTTGCTAGTTTGTTTGATTTTAAAAACTCAGGTTTTACACAAGAGAATATTCTCTAGTTGATGCTTATTCTAACTTATTGAAATCAAGCAAAGCCCATTTAGATGTAGTGTCCTTTGGTAACGAGGCAGAGGGTCTCAAGAGCACACGTCCACTGACGACTAGACTAGAAATCTTCCTAGTCCTTGACAGCCTGGTGCGTTTCCTACGGGTTTCTTCCAGGAGTGTGGATGAGTCCCTCCCAGTGCTGCACCGATGGAAAAGATGTCTCTCCCTTCTCCTACCCCCATGACAGGATGTTGACAGGCCCAGTTTTGCACAAACACATCTTTGCCCACATGCTCCTCCATGCAGCAGAGGAGAACTGACAGTCCACATCACCCTGTAGCTCCAGGAATGAGCCTTCTGTTTAGTGTAAACATGCGCTGTGCATGGCTTCTACAAATGCCTTTTGCATACCTTGTGTGGCTCAGCCCTGGGCCAAAGGGTCGCAGGGAGTATACATCATGCATGCTTTGCTGTCCTGTGTCTGTGTTTGATGGAGCTCTCCTGCTCCAGAGGCTTCCTAGCCTTCCATGAGACATGGCGGGACCACACAGCAGCTGAAGCAACCGTGTCACATACAGAGCAGGCATTAGTGGGAAAGATAGAGAAGCCAGCTTCCCGTTTCGTGCATGCTGCTGTCTGCAAGGGTTTGCTTGGACTTAGTGTTACAGACTAGATAGTCCCAGGAGGAGGGAAGACACAAAGGCTGTGCAGGGCTATCTGCAGCAAAGCACATGGCTCCTGTTTTAGGTGGGACATGAGGGACACAGGAAGTCCCTGCAGTCCCTGGACAGTAGAGAAATACTGCTTTTAGGTAGTATTTTTTAAAGTGTGTGTGTGTGTGTGTGTGCGCGCGCGCATGTGCGCACACACGTGTTGGTTGGTCAGAGAACAGCTTGAGGGTACTCTGTTTTCCCCTTCCACCCTGCGAGTCCTGGCACCAGGCTTGGCAGTACATGCCTTTGCCTCCTGGGCTGTACCCCCAGCCCTCTCTTTTCTTTAAGCCATTTCCTCAGGCAGTTTGCTCCACTACCAGGAGGAATCTGGATGAGATATTTGTTTCTCCACCGCTCCCTGGGGGTTTTCTCTTTCCATTCCTCCTCCCTCTTGCCATCTGTAATGTCAGCACCTTGTAACAAAGCAGCCAAGCTGGCACCCACGTCCCCTGCCCCTGCGTGCCACTCCTACAGCCAGTCACTTTGACCCTGCATGGCCAGAGCTCTCTGGATTCACGCGCAGGTCTGACAAGTTCAGGGTTGCACTGAGGGCGTCTGGATGCTGAAGCACTGATGGGGGGCGCAGCTTTGATCTTACTCTGTCCCCTCCACTCCCTAGGGTTACGACAACACTGAGAGCAGTGTACGGAAGGCCAGCGTGTTTTGCTTAGTGGCAATCTATTCCGTAATCGGAGAAGATCTGAAACCTCACCTTGCACAGCTCACAGGGAGCAAGGTATGTATAGTATTACCTACTGTTGCCTGCACCTGGGCCACCAGCTCATCGTGAGCCCCTTGGTGGCAGCTCTTTTCATCGGGTGTGTTTAGCTGTCTGACTTCTCTGAGGTGAAAAGGACTGGCTATGAGGTAAAGCCATGGGAAGGTGGTGCTGAATGACATACCACAGGCCTTTCTAACCGATTTTAAAAAGACAACCTAACTTTCAATGTATTTACTGAAGGAAGACAACCTTGCTCAGAAACAGGTTTCCCCCATCTCTTTCCCCCATGGAATTATTAAAGAAATTTACCTCAGGGTGGGCAAGTCATTTCAGTGGGTAAAAGTGTTTGCCATGAAGCCTGATCCCAGGAACTCACATAAAGGTGGAAGACCCTATCCAGCTTCCACACACATTCTGTGGCATGCACATGTGACGCTGTAATAAATTATTTTAAGATTACCTCATCCTTGAACAAATTGCTGAACCGGAGTTGAGTGCCTTGTGGTCATCAGCGGCAAGAATGGCAGCCTTGCCCTGGGCCTGCTGCTCCTCAGACCCTGCTCCATACACTTGGCATGCCAGTGGAGAGCAGAATCCAGGGGCACAGGGCCTTGCTCCTTCTCAGAGGAAATCTTCTAGTGAGATGCCTTTAGAGTTGGGCTGCCACTTTGACACAGCTGGGGAGCACCATAGCCAGAGCCTCACTTCCCCAGAATGTGGACAGCTCTAAGCCCTACTACAAGACAGGATTCCCTCAGGGGCAAGAATAGTTGTTCAGTCCCTCCAGCCTGCCTGAGGGTGCACACTACTGCCTGAGAAGAAATATGTGGGCAGTGGTTTCTTCCAGTTCACTGCTGACATGCATCATAGCCAGGTCTCTTCCCACCACCCCGGGGCCTTGCTTATGGAACTCACCTGTACAGTGTCAGAAGTTCCATGGCTAGCAGCCCCAGCCACCATCTGCATGCCAGTAGCTCTCCCTCTGATTGTAAGGTCATTACCCTTAGTGGCTCTACACATGGTCAGATGTCCCCCGAGAGCAAAACTAGCTGAAGTTGAAAACCACTAGTCCAGAGGACATACTTGAAGACAGATGGAAAGAGGCAACAGAGCACGTGGGGTAAGTTAGGATGAAGCTGGGGAGTGTTGCCTAGCGACACAAAGCCCTGGGTTCCACCCTACATTGCACAAACTGGATTTGGTGGTTTTCATCTGTAATCCCAGTGCTCAGGTGGGAGGCAGAAGGATCAGAAATTCAAGATCATGTTCAGCTACATGATTAAAGGCTAGCCAGAGTTACATTAGACTGGATGGATGGATGGATGGACGGATGGATGGATGGATGGAGTTAAAGGCTAGTCTGAGCTATATGAGAAAGATAGATAGATAGATAGATAGATAGATAGATAGATAGATAGATAGATAGATGATGTGGGAGTGATTTCTTATTAATAAAGAAACTGCCTAGACCCATTTGATAGGCCAACCCTTAGGTAGGCGGAGTAAACAAAACAGAATGCTGGGAGAAAGAAGCTGAGTCAAGGAGTCGCCATGATTCTCCCACTCCAGGCAGACGCAGGTTAAGATCATTCCTGGTAAGCCAGCTCGTGGGCTACACAGATTATAAGAAATGGGCTAGTCCAGGTGCGAGAGTTAGCCAAGAAGAGGGTAGATAGAAATGGGCCAAGCAGTGTTTAAAAGAATACAGTTTCCATGTAATTATTTTGGGGAATAAGCTAAGCTAGCCATGTGGGCGGCCGGGTGCCAGGGACGCAGCCCCGCCACTCGTACTACTACAGATAGATAGATAGATAGATAGATAGATAGATAGATAGATAGATAGATAGATCTGCCTTACCTGACCCAGTCTCTATGTCTTCCACCTTCTTTCTGTTCTGCCAAGACTCTGATCAGATCACTTTTTTCCCCCAAGACAGGATCTCTCTGTATAACCCTGGCTTTCCTGAAACTCACTCTGTAGACCAGGCTAGCCTGGAACCACCTCTGTAGACCAGGCTAGATCTCAAACTCAGAGTTGCCCCTGCCTTCCAAGTGCTGGAATTAAAGGTGTGCAACACAACACCTTGCTCCGATTGCTTTTTTCACTGTTAATGAAATGGGTAGCCGTAGTCACACAGCTTTCCCTTCCTTCTCTCCTCCTCTGCCTCCTCCACAGGGATACAGTGGCCACCATCAAGCCCCGATTTATAAAGTGGATTGGACTTACAAATAAATTAATCTAAAAATACTCCTAAGCCTTTTCTGATATATATGATTTATGCATGTCTCTTCCCTCGTTTGGGTTAGATTCTTGCTCTGTTAATTGTACCTTGGTGCACACAATTTTAATTTTAAGGAATAAATTTGTCTATTTTTTTTTTTTGTTTCCTGGACCTTGGGAGTCCATTCGAGAAATCATTGCCACATCCACTGTCACGAAGCTGTTATCCAGTCCGTGCAAGTGTCAGGTTTTACGCTCTTACATCTCTTAGGTTCAGGTTTGTCATTCGCTTGGGTTGTGTTTTCCTCTGCCCCTTTCCATCCTGTTTGTCTGTTTGTCCTCCCTCCCTGGCAGCTTTGCTTCTGCCTCACTGTCATGCCATGGGCACATGATTTCATACTCCCATGTAAGGTCCAGGAACCACATATGAGAGAGAAGTGTTTGTCTTTCTGAGGCGGGCTTAATTCCCTTAATATGATTATCTCCAGTTGCATCCATTTTCCTGCAAATGACATAACTTTGTTATTCTTTATGGCTGAAAAAATTCCATTGTGTATGTGAACCACATTTTCTTTATGATTCCTCTGCTATTGGCTACTTAGTTGGCTCCATTTGGGTTAATTTTTGTCTGTGGTGTTAGGTAAGATTAAACTTGATTCTGTTGCAGATAGCTGTCCATCTCCCAGGATCATCAGTTTGCTGTAAAGATAATCTTTCTATCACAGTCTTGATACCATTGTCAAAATATCTGTGGGAAGGGTTCCTTCTGCAGGATCTGTGCCGTTCCACCATGTACATATGCATAAGTCCTTAGGCTCGGCCCACATGCTTGGCTTTGCCATTCTTTGTGTAGGTTTTGTTCTGTGTGTGTATGTGTGTGAGAGAGAGAGAGCTGTCCTGCATGTGACCTGGTACCTGTGTAAAAATCAGGACAACTTGCCACTTGGTTCTCTCCTTCCACCATATGGGCCCTAAAAACCAAACTCAGCTCATCCAGCTCGGGAAAAGTGCTTTTTCCACTGCGCCATCTCACTGGCCCCGGTGTTTTGGGATGCTTGCGATAAGGTCTGACTCTGCAGCCCAGACTGGCTTCAAACTGGTCCTTCTGCCACAGGCATGAGCCACCATACAAAACTTAATTTTCCCTTTTTTTTCTTTTTCTTTTTGCAGTTCTGGGGAAAATCAAAACCAAGGACAGCATAGGTTTCATGGGGCCAAGCACACTAATCTCAGATGTGGCTGACATCAGCAGGTGTCTGTAGGGGCCTGGGGAAGGAGCAGCTACAGCACAGGGGCAGAGGCATCCATCTGGGTCTTTGTCTGGGCTGTGTTGGCCCTGCCCCTATGCACCTTCCTCAGCAGCTCTGACAGCCCAAGCTTCTGGTCACTTGTTCTCTGAGCTAGTCAAAGGCAGAGCATCTGGAAACCAACTGTCTTTAAGCACCGGCCTGCTGACCTCTTCCCTGCTTCTTGCCCATCTCCCCTGCTCACTCGTCTCTGTTTTCTTCTCTCTGCAGATGAAGCTACTCAACCTTTATATCAAGAGGGCCCAGACCACCAACAGCAACAGCAGCTCCTCCTCCGATGTGTCCACACACAGCTAGTGGCCGTGCCGGTCTGTGCAGACCCACATGGTGGCGCCTCTGAGAAGCCCATCAGCCGTCTAGTCCTTCAGGGGGCCGCACATAATTTATTACAATCAGTATTTTGGTCCCTTCCAGCTTTTGTGTAGATTTCGCTGGTATTGAATGTAACGGGAGCGAGGCCTGTTATGCAATCTCCCTAGAAACAAAAGGACTGAGAACAGAGCCACACTCACACGTGTCTTGCACCGCCTGCTGACATCACCAAACCATGGAGGACACAGTTCTTAGAACCCAGAGCTCTCCAGCCCGTGCTTGGTACACAGTAGCGTATTTTTTTCAGCCCACACAGACCTGGGGTGGTTTGGGGTGTTGCTGTGTTCTTTATGCCTATGTTCCTAGAGCGTGGTCAGATGGGACAAGACCCCCCCATCTGTGGTCCACCTGACCCCGAGAGAGGCTGTGTGTGTCTTTAGGTTTTGTCTTAAGAGAACTTGTCAGAGTGGGACTGCAGTCTGGGCACAGAGAGGACAACAGCCTGGAGCTGGCCTCGTGACAAACAAGTCTGCCTTTGGGGACAGAATCAGTAATGCCACCAACATTTTCATGGTTGCATTAAATACAAGGTGACTGCAGATGGCAAGATTCCTGCCCAGGGAATCACTGGCCTAACCTCTTGAAGGTCTTTTGACCCAGCAACTAATGTAGAGTCTGGCTAAATATATTTTGATTAAAATCCTTAAGCCAAATAACAATTCTTAATGCAATCATGCAAACTTTTTTAGGCTGGTCTTGGATTTGGTATCCTCCAGCCTCTAGCCTCCCAAATACTGGGTTTATAGACATGGGCCACATGCCCAGCAAAAGATTCTTTGGGGGTGTTAATTCTAGCAGAGCGTGCGCCCCTCCAGTGCAGAGCCCACTTCAGCTACCAGAGATGAAAGGAGAGGTTGGGTACTTGAGTTCTCAGCCCTGATTCCAGCCCTGCTCTCTGACCCGCCAAATGACTTGGTTGGCCATGGCGGTGCACACCTTTAATCCCAGCACTTGGAAGGCAGAGGCAGGTGGATTTCTGTGAATTCTAGTCCAGCCTGGTCTAGAGTCAGTTCCAGGACAGCTGGGGCTATATAGACTGTCTCAAGAAACAATCAAAAAAGAGGTAGGGAGGTTGAGAAAGACCTATGCTGTATTTAGAAATACACTGAAAATTAGGGCCGTGTGTGTGTGTGTGTGTGTGTGTGTGTGTGTGTGTGTAGTGGCTCACACATGTAACTGCCCCCACTGCTGCTGTCCGGAGAACTCAGGGGTGCATTTTAAGGATTTACTATTATTGACTGGTCTGAAATCAAAATATAGCCAGACCAGACCTTCGTTTTAGTTAAAAACAAAAAACAAACAAAAAAAAAAATCCTGTCTGTTAAGAGTTTATTAATGAAATTCCTCTCACCCTCCACCAGGGTCCCTGTGTTGTAGCCACTGCCTTGTAGAATTGTGCATCTCGGCCCGGTTACTTAGGAGTTCTCTTATGTCTGATGCAGTTAGAAGGGCTCTTCTCTGGAGTTCTCTGCCCCACAGATGGTCTCCATGTCCCCACCGTAACTGGACAGTTCCAGAATATTGCCTGATTTCCTCACGGCACTCACGAAGGGCTAGCCTCCAATGTCATGTGCCCTCTTCCACCTGAGTAGAAAGAATACAGTCATTTCCCAGGTCTCTTGGGCTCAATCTGAAGACTGCTGCCCGCAATGCTGAGGAGACTCGCATGCCGCCACCACCTCACGGAGGGCGATAGCGCCACTCCAGAACCCTGACAGCTACTGCTGCCTTGCCTTGCCTCCACCTCCCCAAAGGACTCTGCTGGAAGCACCTAGACCCTGAAGGACTCTTGACTGCTCCCAGAACTGTGTTTGCCTCCCCATCTATCTTGACTATCCAGGGCCTTGAAACCCCCTACCCTGTATCCAGGGGGACTGCTCATCTGACTTCCTGCTTCCTGGCAAGCTGCCCCTCCCTTACTGGACAGGCTCTCTCCAGGTGTGCTCGTGTGCTGTGCGGCCCTGGTGCCCACAGATGGCCTGGGCCCGCCCGCCGTATCTATGGCTCACAATAGCTTTTCACCACCTGTGCAGCTCACGCAGCAGGTTTGTCTCAGACATCTTCTGTTTCTTTCTCTGCCACCCTTACGGAAACTCACACTTTAAAAGACAACAGATTAGAACTTCGTAGACCCCCAACCAGGACTCTGCTAACAATGTTTGGAAGAAATAAATGCTCTGAAAACAATCAGCCACCAAAATAGCTCACACGCATGGTCCCTGCGCCCCCAGATTGGGTGTTGTTTGTTTTGGGTTTTTGGGGGGCTTTTTCATGTTACATCCATAATCTGTATTTATATCTTATTTGTTTCACCTTCCAAGTGTATCATGGCAAATGTACAGATTTTTTGTTGTTGTTGTTAATAATGTGCTAGGATTTGCTAAAAAAGAAAATTAAAAAAAAAAAAAAAAGACCTCGAGTTTGCCCTGGAATATGCGACAATCCAGTTAAAACTGTGTGTGTGGTGCTGTGAGAACCCTCGGGTGACCTGCAGTTTCTTGTCAGATTGTCATCATCCTGCTGTGTTCACAGAGACACTGAGAGCACACGTCTTTGTGACAGTAAAGGGTCAAACTGAGTAGTGCAGCCAGTAATGGCACTTGCTTTGTGTCCTGACAACCTGAGTTTGATCCCCCAAACCCATGTAAATGTAGGAGAGCGCCGGCTCCATCCAGCTGCCCTCCAGTCTGCACATGATGGCCACAGTGTGAATCTCCTCCTCACATAATCATACAATAATAATAGATTTAAAAAGAAAAAAAGGTCAGGCATGCCTTAATCTCAGCACTCTCTGAGGTTTTCTCTCTGCATGAGTTCAAGGCCATCCTGAGCCAAGTAGTGAGTTCCAGGAGAGCCACAAGCTGTCAACAAAACAAAAGACCAAGTATTGGCTTGATGGTGCACAACTTTAATCCCAGCACTCAGGGGCAGATGGATCTCTGTGAACGACCATGTGGGTCTACAGCTTGGTCTACATAGCAAGTTCTATGCTAGCCAGAGCTACATAGGCAGACCCCCTATCTCAAAAAAAAAAAGGAAAGAAAGAAAAGAAAAAGCCAGGCAGGGGGCTGGAGAGATGGCTCAGTGGTTAAGAGCATTGCCTGCTCTTCCAAAGGTCCTGAGTTCAATTCCCAGCAACCACATGGTGGCTCACAATCATCTGTAAAGAGGTCTGGCGCCCTCTTCCGGCCTTCAGGCATACAGACAGAATATTGTATACATAATAAATAAATAAATATTTAAAAAAAAAAAAGAAAGAAAAAAAAGAAAAAGCCAGGCAATGGTGGTGCGTGCCTTTGATCCCAGAATTTGGGATGCAGAGCCAGGTAGATCTCTGAGTTCAAGGCTAGCTTGGTCTACAAAGGAGTTCTAGGACAGCCGGGGCTACACAGACCCTGTCTCAAAATTAAGAGAAGTCCAACTGTCCGGAAACCCCCCCCTCCATCCAGTGTCCCATCAGCCCCTGCTGTGTGATGAGACAGGAAACTGGGGGCACATGAGGTATGAGTCCCCAGCCCTTCTCCAGAACAGCTGCCTGAGTGAGTTCCTGTCTGAACCCCATTTTCCCAGCCAAGCAACAGCACTCTTCTAGAAGTGCTCAAAGCAGGGAGGAAACTGACCCTGGCTCCGAGACTGGACCAGACCTGGTGAGAGCGAGTGCTAGTCTGTGCTGCTCTGCTCTGCAGCCCCTGGACCTCTGTAGGCCTGGCACTGACTGCTGGGTGCCAGCAGTAGTGTGGCCCTAGAAGTGGGCGCAGTGGAGTGACTCCACAGCCTCCTCGAAGCCTGGTAATGTAACATTTGCCGTATTGGCACCCACTACCACTGAGCACTTCCCATCCCTGCTCTCCCTGAGGGCCGTTTGTGTGCGGTATGCATGCAGGCCAATGGACAGCCACAGGTAGTCGTCCTCGAGGGCTGGCCATTTCATTGTTTGAGAGAGGGTCTCTCACTGGTTGGATTTCACCAAGTAGGCTAGGCTAGCTGGTCATTTGCCTGTCCCCACTTCCCGTGCACTCGGATTACAAGTACACAGTTCTGTGTTTGACTTTTTAATGTGCGTTCTGGGAACAAACGCAGGTACTTAGGCTTGCAAGGCAAGAACTTTATCACCTAAGTGGTGAGTCCACCCTGACTCTGAATGTAGCTTCTACATTATATGTAACTCTGAGAAATAGTCAAACATAGAATTCCACCTTTTTATAATGACCCTAATTTGTTTGATGGGTCACGATGTCCTCACAGTTCTTCCATGATATAGCAAGTGTCACAATTCCCTTTTATAAGGCTGAATAACACCTGGATAGACCCCCAATCTTGGGGTCTCACAGAGGATTTTGAGGGCCCAGTTTTGAGAAGCTGGGGTAGAATTGTGAGCTCAAGTCCAGTCTAGGCTATGTAGTAGGGCACCCATCTCAAAGAACAAGACAGAAAGGAACTGCTTGGCAGAAGTGCTGTGTGAATTTAGAGGTGATGTCAAGCAATTCTTGGCTGCTGGTCACCTGCTCTGCTCCCTCCATGGCCTGGAGAATACAGGGTGGAGACATCGCCCACACCCCTCCGCACTTACTCAGGTTCAAGCATGGAAAACCCTGAGAGAAGAAGGACGGACTCAATGTCCTCTGTTTGGTTCTCTAAGCCCAGCGCCATTGCTGCTCCTTTTCCAGTGGGCAGCCAGGCAGTGCTTACTGTTCCAGGAAGATGGCAGGCTGGCAACAGGCCCAGAATCTCCAGCCGTTCCTGGTTCTGTGAGTTAAACTTGCTGTCTGCTCGGCTTTGAAGGAAGTCATAGAAGGGATCTGAACCCCGTGAAACTGCTGAGGGTCTCAAGATGAGAATCTCTGGTATGAAGTCCCTTCGTGCTTATGACAGTCTCCCAGTAGCAGGAAGGGTGACTGAGAACTCAACATCCTTTGTGAGGTGTTCGGTGCTTTTCAAAAGGATTAAATTAGGGCCGATGAGATAACTCGGCCAATGAAGGGGTTTTCCACAAATCCTGGGACCCCCAAGGTGGAAGGCGACGACTGACTCAAATGTTATCATTTCACACACACACACTCGAGAGACGGACAGACAGACAGACACAGAGAAGACACAGAGAGTGACAAACACACAATTTTTTTTTTTTTTTTGGTTTTTTTAAGACAGGGTTTCTCTGTGGTTTTGGAGTCTGTCCTGGACGAGCTCTTGTAGACCAGGCTGGTCTCAAACTCACAAAGATCCACCTGCCTCTGCCACCCAAGTGCTGGGATTAAAGGCGTGTGCCACCACCGCCTGGCCTCACACACAAATTTTTAAATGTAAGCAAGGGACTGGAGAAATGGCTATTGGCAGTTAAGAACACTGGCTGCTCTTTCAGAAAACCCGAATTCAATTCCCAGCATCCACACTGCAGCTCACAGCCATCTCTAACTCCAGTTCCAGGGGATCAGATGCCCTCTTCTGACTGTCAGGCTACCAACCACTCATGTGGTGCTACATATATGCATGCAAACACTTATGCACATAAAATATAAATCTAAAAAAAAAACTTTACAAAATAGAGATGGAAATAAGGCCCCTTTTGTTTCTGTCATTGAATGGCACAAGCAAGTTCCCAGCCAGGTGTCCTGCCTCTGGCTCCCATCTTGCCATAGGAGTGCTGGGATGAAAGGCTACCACACTGACTTTTTACTTGGATCCAGGAGTTGAACTCAGGCCGTCTGGCTTTTGCAGCAAGTATGTTTTACCAGCTGAGCCATCTCACCAATCCATACAATGTTTTTGAAGAATTCTCTTCTGTGACTTATTACAGATGTGCAGATACTAGAACTGCTGTCCTTTTCCAGTTCCAAATGAGGAAACTGAGGCACAGGAAAAACCCCAGTTAGAGAGTGACAAATGGAGCCAGGACCGGCCCCAGGCTCCTCCCTACCAGCTTAGCGGCTTCCTTTACTCCTCACTGGGCCATTCACTTTCCCTGCAGTTGTGGAGATATCTGGGTTCTTGCATACATCAGAACCCTACGGAGCTCCAGCCCCCTAGAGCAGTGGTGAGCTTGAGAATGGATTCCTAGCAAGTGCCCAGGTGATGCTGAGTCTGCTGGCCTGTTTCTCAATGAACCTTCATGAACGTTCTAGAGTCTAGAATCTAGACTGTGGCAGAAAATAGCATGAGGCCTCAGGAAACTTAGCCTAGAGGGCTGCCTTGCCTGATGCTATGGGTAACTATAGCAACAGCCAACAACACCATAACTAGGACCACGGAAAGTGAAATAGACTAGGCTGGGGAGAGATAGCTCAGCTGGTAAAGTGCTTGTCAAGTTCAATGCCCAGAACCTAGACATGTAAAATGTCAGGTGTGGTGGCACACCCTTGCAACGCCATCACTGGAGAGGATGCCTCGGGCTTGCTGGGCAGCCAGCCTTACCTAATGTGTTAGCTCCAGACCAATAAGAGACCCTGTCCCAAAAGCATGGTGGGGAACAATCCTGAGGTCTTCACAAATGTGCACACATGCATGTACACACACACGCACAAATTTTAACTGAAAGAGGTACATGTTAGAGCCCAGGCAGACGTGTCCAGGCATGCTGGGCACAAAGCTCTCTGTTCATGGATGGACTTCCTCCATGAGCTCAGCCCAAACCTCCCTGACCCCTCTGGTTCCTCCTGTATTTATTAACTCACACTTTGGAGGCTCCAGGCAAGAGCGGACAAAGGTCATGGGAATGGGGATCTAATGCTGGGTTACGTATTGAGAGGCTCTGAAAGGCAGCCCCTCCACGTCCTCTTCTGATGAGTCCAGAGGGACTAGTCAGGGAGGTGTGGGATGGAGCACGAAGGCATCTGGTTCAGGCTCTGAACCTCTTCGGCATCTCCCCTAGAAGAGCCTAAAGAGCTCCTGAACCTGTCTGATGCCTACCTAGTCAGTGCCTATTGGTCCTCCATTCCTGGCCTATGCCTATGCCTGGACACCTCAGGCTGCAGTCTCAGTGATGAGAGTTTGCTGTCTGTCAGGCTTTGGTCCAGAGAACCATCTGTAATCAGGAGCCTGATCACTCCTATTTCATAGACTGGAAACAGGCACAGCAAGGTCAGGTAGCCTGCTTGGGGTCACATAGCTAGTGAGAAACAGAGCTGGGATTCAAATGCAGGAAGTTAGGCCAGTGAGCAAGGGTTCTTGCTGCCAAACCTCACCTCATGGCCTGTGTTCTATCTATCCCTGGAACCCATAGTGGGAGACAACTCCTGCTAATTGTCCTCTGGCCTCCAGATGTGTACTGTGGCATGCACACACACATACACACACACGTGCGCACACACAGAGGCCTCCTCTCACTTTCTCTGACATACCAGTCCATTTCATCCCTGACTCTTGTTAGCAAATTCTTGGGCCCTGGCTGGTCACAGATGAGCTCAGTTGGTCAGGCCACCAAACTCACAACCTCCTGCAGAACCTCTTAGGAATCTCTAGCAGCCAGGGCCTGGCTGGAAAGGGGGAGCACTCACTAGTTTGGAAGAGGATGGGGGTGGAGAGAAGGAAAGGGC